TTTGCCCAGTTGTGGCTCAATACCTTGCAGACGAGTATGGTATTTAGGAGTCACTCGGGCATATGGGATGCTGTAGTCTCCAGATATCTCCATCAAAAGCTGAAAGATAATACCTATACTAAACATGCATAATGTGAAACCTATTGTTTCTTACTATATTCATATTATACCATCACTATGAGTGAATTAGATCAAAATTCATTTTAATTGCTTATATTTATGCAATAAGGACAAATAATATGGCCAAAACTAGATGAAAATATATGCATGTTGAACATTTTTACTGTTATAAATATATTATTGTTATTATTCATAGTACTATTAGTTAAACTAGTATTAAATTTTCATATAATAAATGTTCGGGGGGGAACTATCAACACTCTGAAATTTTATGAAGCAAAGAGCTGAAGAGTTTAAGGACCCCTGTCCTAGAGACATCCAGCCATCTTGGTGTAGATAGGGCAATGATGAGGCGAGACTTTCTACTGCCTCCATAATGGCTGGGTGGTGCTTGCCTTCATGACTTTAGTTTTCTCAACTCTGGACTGTGCTGCGTTTGATCATGTGAACTTCGGACATCTTAGTGGATTTTAGACTCATTCTTTGGACTTTGGACTAGACCTGAATTTTGGACTTTGTGAACTCTTGCCTTTGCTTTTCAACTCAGTATCCTTGTTCCTAGACTGAGCATTGCTGGACTCAATAGGATTTTGCCTTGGGTGCAAGTGGGAACCTGGGGAATTAATATTAAGGACTTGAACTATCAAAAAAAGTCCTTAAAACTCTCGTGTATGTGGATTGAAACAGAATAAATATCCTTATTAAATATAAAATGGATAGCTCTTTTGCTATTCCATGCATATGTCATCTAATAGAAGCCTGAGAATTAAATAAGTAATTTTCTTACACAAAAATGTTTATTTAGGATGTTGAAAGTATACCTACACTGCCATAAATTATGCTGTATCTGGATTATACAGTTTGCTTTGCTTTAACTGGTAAAGTTTACTATTTACTATTAAGTGTTGTATAAGAGAGTACCCTTACAATCTGAAAAGCTGTAAGTGCAAAATGTGCTGGCTAAATATTATCAAGAACTGAGCATTAAAACCATTTTATGTTCGTACGACAGCTTTTTTTACTGGCACTTACATTGTTTTCAGGCCTAGTGCAAATTGCTGTCATTAACCTGAGAAGTTTACAGCTTGAGACAATACAGCATTGAACAAAGCATTTTCTTGTAAATTTCTTCCCAATCTTCAAGATTATTAGCTGCCCTGTTTTGAGTACCTTCACATGTTGAGGTATAACAGGAGGTTGATGTCAACAATGGACATTTTCATTAATACTTCCCTAGTTTGAGGTCTGCCTGGCATGTGTATTATTCGGGGGGGGGGGGGTAGGGGCACTTGGCAAAAATCAAAATAGTTAATTCTTTTGTCTCTGTTGGTTTAAAATATTGTTTTATCTGTTTTTTATTAAGTTTTTTCACTGATTTTATTGTATTTTTATGGTACGTTGTCTTGATAGATTTTTTTCTCGAATATCTAGAGAACCTAATATAATTTAGCAATGAATAAATAAATTTAGCCTGCAGTGGATACCTTGAAACTATATTTACATGACACATTACTCAAGGTTCGATCAATTAACAGTTTTCTGAATTTGCACAAGATAATAAACTCATTCAGGCTGTGTTCATTCAAATGATAAAAAGTAGGTGGCTACACAGGAAGTCATCCAAATGTGAAAGGGCCAACCTACAATATATACTGTATTATATATGGAGGTAGTCCTTGACTTACGACCACAATTGAGCCCAAAATTTCTGTTACCAAGTGAGACAATTGCCAAATGAATTTTGCCCCATTTTATGACCTTCCTTGTCACAGTTGTTAAGTGGATTACTATAGTTGTTAAGTTAGTAACACACTGTTAAGTGAATCTGGCTTCCTCACTGACTCTATCAGATCACAAAAGATGATCACATGATCCCAGGATACTGCAACCATCAAAAATATAAATCAGTTGCCAAGCATCCAAATTTTGATCAAGTTATCATGGGAATACTGCAATGGTCCTAAGTGTGAAAAACAGTCATAAGTCACTTTTTTCAATGATATTGTAACTTTGAACAATCATTAAATGAACTGTTGTAAGTCAAGGATTACCTTTATTGGCATATTACAAATACTGGCATATTATAATCTTCTAATGTTATGTATAGGGAATTTTTTATGCAGAAACATTCACCATATAAACTTCCATCCATAGTATGACATAGTAAATTCTATTTAAATTCAGTATTTCTGTTAAGAGCTCAAGATGACACTTCAGAATTTATGCAAGCAACAATTTCATTAGAAAAATTAGACAAATTGACATTAATTGGATAATATAACTCAGTAAATGGATTCTGAATACAGCTAGCCCTAGGTTTAATTCTAATCATGATAATCCTGCTGTCAGGCTATACTTTTGATCCAGAGATAATAAAAAATATGTTTGCTATAGAAGTAAAGTATGAAAACAAGCAGTCCCAGTTAATAGATTATATATAGATTATATATTGGTCAGCCATACACTTTGCATGCAAAAGAACTAAGATTTCTTCTCTTGAATCCCAGAGTAATTGCTAATGCATATACAAGTTGGAAGGACCAATGAACTGACATGGCAACATTCCGTGAATGACACTGGTATTGAAATAGCATTTGTCATTTTCTCAGCTTGCTTTTCCCAAGATTTTCAAACTACAAGTAACACCGTCCCTCCTGACTTCAAAAGATAAGAGATTGAAACTACTTTTTCTATTATCTATACAGCCAACAAGCCACTCTATTTATCTACCATCATCTGTGTCTAGCTATTCTCCGAGTTTGTCCCATCCCCGTCTGTAGAAACACCCTTTTTCTCACCATCTTTTTTTAACGTCAGCGTGCCTGACTAACCTTCCTTAGTAGTGCAATTCTTTCCCCACTTTATGCTCCCAGTTCCTCACTCCACGCTCTCCCGTCTTTACAGACTCGACCCTGGAATACGAGAGATAACAGCTACACTTTTCAGGGTTACGTGCCTCACTCATTCGTTACTCCCAAGTCCTATCGCTCATTCCACCTTGCATACATTCCACTCACCCACCTACCATCTGCACACACTCTCACCATAGCATTTAGTGGCGCATAACATAGGACCAATCACATTGCAGGAGGATTCGCCATCTGCCAATAGGAAGACACGAATATTAAACAAGAGATTCGACCGAGGTGATGCCGGAAATGGTAACAAAAACGCGGGAAAGATAGGACGAGGCGAAGCGAGTAGTTTAGAGTCCTAGAGAAGAAATAGGTCTGACTTGTGTATCGTTTATTATATATTAGATATATATTAGAATACGGGGTTTTAAGCTTTTAAGCTGCTGGAAATTTCAACGTGTTTGCTTCGAGGTACTTGCAGTGTGTACTGTACAGAGTCATCAAATAAGGATGTTGCGCTCTTCGCATTTAGTTTAAATCTACTTGCTTGTAGTACCAAAGCAGCCGAGAGTCTATTTCGCATAAATATCAGGTGCATAGAAACATATCCAATTCTCAGGATGAAAGAGGCGTTTACTTTTACTCTGCCTTTTTTCTTTTTTTAACAAATTTGCTTACTACAAATTACTAATAGTCTAAATACTCCATACTTCTATCCTCTCCAAGTGATGGTAGTTCATTCTTTACAGAGGTACAGAAAGATTTGAATTTAGCACACAGGTTCTAAGAACACTTATAATAATGCCCTTATTTAAGAGTAAATAAATGAGCAAGCATATATAAAATGTGTAGGAACGCTGTTCCTATTTTTAAAGGAGAATTTCATTTTAAGGTGCAGGGTAAATTGTGCCCTAGCCAAGTATCAATGCTGACTTGAGAAATACCTGCTGGCGCCAGTAACAAACTAATGACTGATTGTTATAGATATTGCAGATTGAAAATGCATAATTAACTTTTAAAATGTTGACCTGAATTCACCAGTACATCCATAATACCACTCTTGAAACTGTACTGGTGGTTCATTTTCCACTTTCATAAGTCCTCCTTAACTGGATGGAGAACATGGTCTACACTACAGCAGCTTTTTGCAACCATAATCTTATAAATCCTGAAGTCTGCTCTGCTAAAAACTTGATTTAGATTTTAATGTATTTGTGTAGCAATACCAGAACATTTTTTTAAGACAGAGACTGAGAAGTTGAAGGTTGAAAGTACCATCTCCAACTTTTTTGCTGCATCCTTTTCTTGTCCCGTCAGTGGCATAAATAGCCCAGTAACTGAGAGGGCAAACAAGTGAATTATTTCTTACTATATTTTATCCATTTAGGTTTGTTTCTTTAATAGAAAATATTAATCCATTATCAACATTGAAATGCGTAGAATGACACCCCCACCCGGATAATTCCTTTAAAAAGGCCTTGCACGTGCATGTTAAAAAAATAATATAACTGGGTTAGCAGCATTAATATACGGGATAGGTAATAAAGTTGGTGGGTTCATCCACATGAAGGATTTTTTATTTACATACACTTTGTGTGATAAGGAAAATTCATAACTCAGTAAGCTAATTAAGAAACATCTAGGTTCTTTAAAATCTGAAATCCCGAGGGTTGTGCCAAAATCATGAGTTTTCTTTACTAATCGGCGTTGCCAATTCTCAGTCAAAGGATTTATTTATTTAGCGTATGGCATATCGTACATGGACTAACAATATAAATTAACATTTCAACTAGAAATCGGTCAAAGGGACGAACGTCTTTTAAGGATATCAATGCTTTAAGGCTCAGACCCGGTTTTCTAAGCAAAACAAATCACAATTTGTAAATACAAGCCAGTCATTTGTAATAAAAAGTTGGGTAGCGAAGGAAAACCCAGGGGCGGAGCGAGGAGGAGGATTGGGGCAGCGAGCGAGCGTAGGGCGGCGCATGGAACTCCGGCCGTCTCTTCGTCTTGTCGGCGAGCCGGGGGCGCGATGGCGGCTGCGGCCGAGCGTGTTGACGAATTGGTGCGGGAATACTTGCTGTTCCGCGGCTTCACTGCCACGCTGAAACAACTAGATGCGGAGATCAAGGCAGACAAGGAGAAAGGCTTCCGGGTGAGGATTGCAGGGAGGAAAGGCCTGAGCTGGTTTGGGGAGGTTTTCAGGGGTAGGCAACCTTGGCTCTTTTATGACTCGTGGACTTCAACTCCCAGAATTCCTGAGCCAGCATAGCTGGCTCAGGAATTCTGGGAGTTGAAGTCCACGAGTCATAAAAGAGCCAAGGTTGCCTACCCCTGGTTTAGGTGATGGGGAGGGCATTTAGTCCAGAACGCCCCTTCCCCGCTCTTCCTTTTTCACGCTGATTTGCCACTGCGAGAAGCAGGAACAGAGAAAGCATTGTTGTGCCCCGGAATTCTGAGCGTCTTGCCGGAACAGTGGTTTCTGGCTGGATGGGCCTGCCTTTCAGCAGGGGCTGATTGAAATTATTTTTGGATTTGCTTCCAATTCGTTAGTTAGAAGGCACCCAGTCAGTCCCTTGCAGCTCTTCTTTAGAACCGGTCTTACCAGAGAACGGGGAGGTGAAGAGCATGTGTAGAGTGCATCCCTTTCAAAAGTCCCTAGGCTGCATGGATTATTAGCATCTAGTTAGATTTAGATGTTGACATTTTGCTTATATATATCATATTTTCCTAGTATTGAATCTGCCTAATAGATTATTAATCAAAATAAAATAATTGTCACTAGAATTTATTTAAAAAGATTAAGTCCAGACATATCTCATAAAAAAGTTAAACAGCTATTAAATTGATTTAATATTTCAGACAGAGGCATAATCGGGAGCCTCATGGATCCATGTAATTTCTGAAATAAACGCTTTTAAAGCCAGGGTGCAGTCATGATAGATCTTTTACAATTATTTTGTTTAAAAGTTATGTATTGCTACCTACTTTGCGGCACACAACTCTGGTTGGTTAACAACAATGTTTAAAAATACAAACAAAACTAATATGAAAAGAATGAAATAAAATAAAATTTAGAAAAACCACACACCCAACCCAAAACTGTACGTACCTATCTTGGATTCTAACCTTATTGTCCCAGCCAGCTCTTCACCAATATGCAGAACGCTTGTTACCAAATTGTAATTTTTTAAATATGAGAGAAGTGGAAAATTATGAAACATAAATCTAGAATGGCAAAAGTAAATGAAATAAAATATTTTTTTCTCCTAATCCTACCAACTAATATTTGGTTTGTAGCACCCTGACCCAACATTCAAAGGCCAGATGCAACTCTTGTCTGGAAAGTTACTGTATATATTATAGTAAATGTTTCTATATTTCTGGTTTTTCTTTATATGTTCTATTTCAAGTTCCTTTTTGAAATGACCTGTTCTTTCCTATTTCTATTGGTTTTAGCTGACAACAGTTGTATATTATTACTCTACTCACAGGCCAGTAACCTGACATTCCCTTTATAGCTGAAATTGACCTGAGACAGAGGGTTATAAAGAAGAAAAATTGGCTACAAATTACAGGTAGTGCTTGACTTACAACAACAGTTAGAACCAGAATTCCCAGTTGCTAAGCAAAGCACCCAGTTTTACAACCTTTTTTCCTATGGTTGTCAAGCTAATATGTGGCCATTAAGCAATTTCGGCTTCACCCATTGACATGGTTGGAAGCCAGCTGGGAAAGTTGCAAATGGTGATCATGTGACCCTGGGATTGTGCAAATGTTGTAAATACTTACTGGTTGCCAAGCGCTTGAATTTTGATCATGTGAACATGGGATGCTGCATCAGTTATTAAGACAAAGACCTTTTCGTAAGTCACCTTTTTCAGTGCTGTTTTAACTTAAGTGGTCACCAAACGAATGGTCATAAGTCAAGGACTACCTGTATATCGAAACAAAGGTTATGGTCTTCTCAGTAACAGAGTTAAAGGCAGATGGAGAATAAATCAGAATGTCACAATTTAGAGATACTTTTCAATGTTTGAAGGGAGCAAATGAGGATTGTTCCAGATAGTAACCAAAGATATTCCAAAACTATTCTAAGCTTCCCTACCTGTACTTAACATTCAGTTACCTGCCACTTGCCATTCATTTTTTCAAAGTTAAAACAATCAGGCAAATGCTATGTGACTCCCAGGTTTGTTGCTATAAAGATTTCAGATTGCTAGGACTTCTTCAAACATTTTAAGAGCTATATCCTGGACTCCAGATAGTTCCCATTGCATCTTGTTACCTCAAATCTTGGCTTGCCTCATTTGGAATTTAAGACATATCTTTTCAATTGCATTCTTTATACTACTGGATGGTTATATTTCATCCTGGAACAAAAAAATTAGAAGCAATCTTTATTGTAGTTTCTCAGGACAACTTTTAATTGTCTTGGCTTTTGAGTCGGCTAATACGTTGGATACGGATCATCAAAAAGTCTTAAATATGAATAAAAAATGGCAGGAGCTAACAGAGGGATGTAACCATTTATTTAATGTTGCACATGCGTTTCATAAAATTTTCTCCTTAGCCAAGCTGTCAGACCCTCAATGTTTTTGGAGAGGAAGTAGAGAAATTGGGATTAGAACAAATTTACCTATGTGAAGTTGAGTAATGGAGACAGCCCCACATGTACTACTATACTGCCCCTTTAGTATGAATTGTTGTACTGCTCTGAACTATTAAACCCTGTCAAGTATATTTTAATTATATATATTTGAATCTTCTTTCTATAAAAGAGACAAGCATTTGCTTGGTAAATCATGGTCAACATACATGGTTTTGATTTTTTCATTTTCTCCTTTATCCTGTGACAGATAATTGTACCCCCTAATTATTGCTGTGATTTTTCTTAATAACTGAAGTTGTTGGTTACATAACTTACTTTGGAGGGTTTCTAATTAGGTGGACAAAATAGTGGACCAGCTTCTGCAGTTTGTTCACAGCTATGATCTAGCTGCTCTTCGAGAGTACTGGAGTTACCTTGACAGACGCCTTTTCAGTCGACTGGAGGATATGTATCGACCTACAGTGAACAAGTTGAAAATCAGTTTATACCGCTATTATCTCATTCATGCTGTGCAGGTTTGTGTCAACTTAATAAGCTTGCTTCAAAATAAGGATAGTTAAAAATAGGTACAGGTGGTCCTTGATTTACTATAGTTCATTTAATGACTGTTTGAAGTTACAACAGCACTGAAAAAAGTGACTTATAGCCATTTTTTACACTTATGACCCTTGCAGCATCCCCATGTTGCTGCAGGTGCTTGGCAACTGATTCATATTCATGACAGTTGCAGTGGCCTGGGGTTGTATGATCACCTTTTGCGACCTTCTGACAAGCAAAGCGAATGGGAAAACCAAATTCATTTAGCAACTGTGACTAATTTAACAACTGCAGTGATTTACTTAACAACTGTGGCAAGAAAGATCATAAAATGAGGCAAAGCTCACTTAACAGCTGTCTCACTTAGAAACAGAAATTTTGGGCTCATTTGTGGTCATATGTCAAGGATTATCTGTATTCTGTCAAAACAAGATAGACATAATTCTTCAGAAAATAGCTGTATAAGTTTAGTGGGAAAGATACTCTTATTCTGTTAGAGAGCTATAAAATCTGTATTATCAGCTGCTGAAGATTGAACAGCTGCTGCTGTGGGAAAAAAGTGATATCTGAATCTCTTTTTTGTACATTTTAGACGAACAGAAATGACAAGATACAAGAATTCTTTCTCAAACAAGCCTCCGAACTTCAAAATCAGACTGAATGGAAGGATTGGTTTGTTTTGCCTTTTATCCCAAATCCAGATGCAAACCCTAACTTTGCCATGTATTTTTCCCGTCGGTGGATGGATATTTTCATTGTTTCTCTACATAACTTCCTCAGTGTTTTATTTCAGTGTATTCATATCCTTTTTCATATGGAAGAATATTGTAAACCTGAAGCAACTGCTTTTCTGTGCATGTTTTCTTTTACTTTTTTGTTAGAAAGTAATAATTGTTTTTATGAGGGCAATAGGAATCACCTTTCCATTCTAGCACAACTGCTTCTATAGCTAATGAATTAATATATTTTCTTCTATTTCAAATAATCATCCATCACTCTGCCATGCTAGAATTGCCTGCTAGAAACCCAGCTAAATGTAATTTTGGCTAAACTGTTCGAGAAACTATAGCATTCAGATGGGATCATATAGTCCAAGGCTTTTCAACCAGTGGTACGGGTACCATCTGTGGTACATTGGCACCTGGCAGGTGGTACGCGACCATCCTAGAAAAGTGGTAGCGGGGAAGGGGAATGAGCTGAACCGGTGGCAGCACCACACAAGGCTGAGCGAGAGATGGCTGGAGCTGCAGGGCTGTCAGGGCTCAGCGGAAGCGCCAAGATCAGCGCTTCTTCGGGACTATCAGGGCTCAGTGGAAGTGCCAGGATCAGTGCCAGGCTCCAGCTGGAGCTCGGCGCTGATCCTGGCACTTCTGCTGAGCCCAGAAGAAGCGTCGATCAGCTGGAATGTTGCAGCATCTCCAGGATCTTATGATTTACATTCAGATGCTTGGCAACTGATTCATATTTATGACGGTCACAGTGTCCGAGGGTCATGTGAAGTAACCAAAACCTGCTGCAACCACCCAGCAGACGGGGGAATAAAAACCAAACATCATCCCACCCCACCCCCCCGCTGCCAATCCTCAACAGAAATGCTCACAACAATGAAAACCTCAGACAGGAGGAAGAGCGCCGCCGGGTGGGCAGGCAGGTGTCTGGCTGTGGCTTGGGGGACACTTTTTTCAGTGCCATTGTAACTTCGAACAGTCATTAAGTGAACTGTTATAAGTCGAGGACTACCTGTACTTCAGTTTTTTCCTTTTTTTTTTTTTGGGTCAAGTTTTTGACACCTTGCTAGGCTACTGATGCAGTACCAAGGAAGGCAAAGTTAAGATATTTCCCCCAAAATTCTTAGGGTTCTTGGAATGTACTTAAGGTTTGGTGCATATGCAAAGGGAAGAGTCCTGTAAGTATCTTAAGTATCTTTATCCTTAGCCTTTGTTACCTGTGCCAGTGATTCTGAACTTCGAAGCAGAATGTCAGCGGAACAATCTCCTGCAAGAAAAAAATGAAGTCCTTTGTCAAAAGGTAAGAATTGCACCTGTATATTAAGATTTGTGTCCCAGTTCTGGCACTGAAATATATTGTTCAATCTTTCACTATATGTAGTTAGAAAAGCTATGAAAAAATAGATCTTCATAATATGAACTTGAATCAAGTATCAAACAAGTCAGGATTTATAAACCAAATTTCAAGCAATGTTTGTCAGACTATCTGAAATGTTTAAATGAATCATATAAAAATGTTCCTTTGTGGCTTGTAAGCATGCTTGTGTATGCTGCTCATTCATGTTGTAGTTTGATAAACTAAGATTCTTACCTAATAGTTTGTGCTAATATAATTGCTGTTTTGAAATTAATGACCAATTAATTTCCATTTCTATGGCTTGCATTCATATAAAGGGAAAGCAATTCAATTCTTTCTCTCTCTCCCATCTTTTTCTAGTTATTTGCTTTGCAAGCAGAATACTCCCATATAAAAAAAGAGGAACAACAGGAGGAGGAGGAGGATTTGACACTTCATCATAAACTTCCTTCATATGTAGTTAACATGGACCATCTGGGAGACTCAGAGCTGTGAGTGTATGTTAGAGGCTAGTCACTGAGCACACAATTAGATTACCCAGAGAAATCCTGGACCTTATAGAAGTGTTTGCATGATTTACCTAGTGAACTTTTCTAGAGACATAGACAGATATGATGGAAGAGAAAGATAAGGAAACATTTGAAATTTATTGCTTGTCTTCCACCTTCTCCCTCTCCTTGGCATTCCACGTTCTCATAAAACTGGTGGTTAGGTATCTCTTTTTAAAAAAAAAAATCTTCATGAGTTGTTAAATGCACTTCATGTAAGAAAGCATCCCCGAACTGGGTGCCTCTAGGAATCTTGGGACTCTATTGCTATAAATTCTCAGCTAGTTGGCTGTTCAAGAGTGGGAATTCTGAACCTTGGAATCCTACAATGTTTCTGAACAAACCAGGTTGGAGAAGTGTAGTTCAAGGACTCTTTGTCTGAAAATGAACATTATGTGACATAAATGAAAATTCTTTTGGAAAGTGGAATTTTTGTCAGGTATGGAGATTTAGGGTTCACCTCCATTAATTTGCCTCCCCACCACTACTCCCTGCATCTCATTTAGTGACTTGATATGCAGCCAGAGAAGCACTGCACATTCTCTGCAGGCCCGAGGAGGATTCCTGTCTTCCTTGCTACCTCAGAGCAAAAAGGGCCCTGCAAGAACAACCCAGCCAACAGGAGCCACACCAGCACAGACAGGAATCGCACAAGGAGGCAGAAAAGAGCTGCCAAACCACCAGGTAAGGAGAAATAATTGCAGTTTCTGTCTCTGTGTGTGATGTGTAAGAATCAGAGTGCACAATACAGTGTTGTTTTTGTGTCTGCTATTCTGTTACGTACCTGAATTACTAATTTAGACATGGGGCTTTGGAGAATAAAAATGTGTCAAATCTTCCCTTTGCTTTCTAGGTTCCCAAAGGGAAAGAGGCAGCAATTGGAGGCAAGGAATCAAAAAGTCATATCGGTGGTGTGGTTTCCATGGAGCCTACCTCAATACAACAGAATCAGAGACGTTTACAGGATCATGGAAAGGAAAAGAAAGAGTTTGGATCTAAAATAGCTTTCCAGGTAGCGCGGCTAGTGTCTTGTGTGGATTGGATCTAAAATAGCTTTCCAGGTAGTGCGGCTAGTGTCTTGTGTGGATAGGGCAAGTTTTCCTTCTGAGTATTTCTGAGTAAAGTGAACTATGTGTCTTTCTGCTCATAACCAGCTGATTGGTGTAAGGCAAAATGACCCATGGAGTCTGAGCAGTTACTTATTTGTTTGGTTTTTTTTTTAATGAGTCACCTATTTGAACTGGGCAAGTGATAAAACATCAGTGTTATTTCTTCTGCCAGCTGATGTTCTCTTATGAATCACGAAAGGGACAAAAGGTTCTGAAATATTTTTTCCTTAAAATAGTTTGAGCAGCAGAAGTTTACATAGGCTTTTTGCCCTATGACTAGTCAGCTGCTTATTTCTCCCGTAGTGTATTTGCACTCGGAGATGAATACTGCGTAGGGGAAAAACTTGTGCAAGCCTTCCCAGCTTTTGAAACTTGATAGAAAAGAAATAAGCAGCACTTTCCCATCTTCAAAAATTTTGATTATGAAAGACCCATTGTGATCTGTGGTCAGAAAACATAGTTGCATTTTATGTGAACATTTCTTGTGGATTGTAATAAGCCCTCAGTTACTTATTTCTAGAATAGTAGAAAGTTGCTAACAGTTACCTCTTCTATTAGAACTGACTGGGCTATGATGCCTTTTTTTTTTACAATTACCCTTCTAATGGCAAATAACTAAGACATGGTACATGTACAAAAAGTATTGTTGCAGCACAGATTTTAGAAACAAAATTTCTTTCAATTTGAACCCCTAGAAATAAACTTTTAGAAAATAGGGAGTAGGTTCTTTGTTGTCCTTCAATATTTTGTTGACTTGGGCAACTAGAATTATTGACAATATTTTCAGGGTAGATTAAAACATTGTAGTACTTGGTGTTCTCAATCTTTTTCCTAAATGTTTGTAATTCTAAGCTTCTCTCATTATTTGTTTATTCTATTTCTGCTGGATCCTTGAGATCTCTTTTTTTGGATGATTAAGGGTCGTGTTAAGAATTAATTTTCTGTATTTGTTGCTGAGTTTGTTTATGCGTGCATGTACACATGAAATGAAATAGTGAGCTTTATCAGCCATTCTGCAGCAAAAGTGCCAAATATTCTTTTTGGGCTTTTTTATTCTTGCTGTTATAACCCTCAACAAGTATTACAGTATTGGAAGAAGCCTTGACTTCCTCAACACAATTAATTACTGTAAATATCCTTATGTAGAATATTTTAAAATGTGGAACTCACAGTATGCTTTCTTTCATATTGAAAACTATTCATTTAATTTTGTCCTCTGTTTTTTGATTCTTAACTGTTTCAACAAAAAAGTTTCATTGGTTTATTTTTGTTTGGTGAATGATGATGGAAAAAATGTTTCTGCTTATGCTTTATGTTTTTCCTCTTTTTATATGTTATCTTCTGTTTGTGTCAAAATTGTTCAGTGCTTCTGTTTTTCAGTGAGGAAGTGGCTAGTACTAAATATTCCTGCTTAATGCTATTAACTTAGAAAATTGTGTCTGAATCTCAAAGTTGAGTTTGGCAATAATAACTTTTTCTAAACCAAAAAATATGTTCTGCTTGACAATTGCTGCTGCATTAAGAATTCATTATCCAGGGGTCTGTTTGTAAAATATGTAGATGTCTAAAAAGGGTAGAAATGTCTATAGACTATTCATGTCTCTGGGAGATGTAGATTTGTCTGTCAGCATTGTTATATTGTACACCGCTGGGAATCTTCAGATTACACTTGAATACAAACATAAATATGTGGATGCAACATAGTTACTGATTAAAATCATGATGCTTCTGTGACACGGAACTAACGCTAAGCAGAAGTGGTTTTTGGTAAGTTCTCATTTCTGTGCCCCTGAAGGCAGCAGGGGACCATTTGCTGTATTTGCTGCTTAGAAAGTTTACATTTTGGGAATGGCAATATACTTTATAGAAGAGTATTTAATATTTAGCCATTTTTTTCTCCTTTTAACATTTATTGCTTTTTTCTTTTTTAAAAAAAATTGATTTAATAGAATAGAAAAGAATCGGAAAACATGCAAAAAACTTACAAAAAGGAAAGTGAAATAGATAATACCTAATTTTTTAAAGAAATCTTGACCTCAGGCTAACATATTGTCCAGTCCTTTTATTGTATCACTAAGGAACTTTTGAAAAGCAAGGGTGCGCACGTTTAATCTAACCAGTTTTTGGTCCCATTTATATGTGTAGCTTTCCTATGACAATAACTTTTGTTAACCATCTAAGCATGATGGATCTTAAATAGATTATTTCTAAATATTTAGAATGTAATGTAATAATGATTCAAAATTAATATTTAATCAATATAGAACAACCAGAAGATATAACCAAATCATGTATGACTTTACCTTTGAATTTATTACATTTCCACTATAAAATATGTATAACCAGCCCTTATGAAATGCCTACTGAGAAATGTTTTAAACACATCCCAGGCAGTGATCAAATTGGTAAATTGTCTATTTGAAAAAAAAAATCTCAAAATCTTTTTGTTGTTCATCAACAAGCTTTGGATCTTCTAATAATGAGGTATTAAAGTACCAGCTTGAAATGTTCTCCTAAATGCCGTAAATAATGCCACTAGGCTGTGATCAGGTATTATAGTAAATCATACAGAATTTCTGCTTTTTTGCTGGCTGAATGACAGGGGTTTGCTTATTAGATATAGTAAGTTATGCAGTGGTCTAACTTATTGTGCAGTCTCTGGATGAGGAGGTAATTTTAGACTGGATATTGAATTGAGTTCAGGGGTCTAGTTTCATTAGGTTCAAATAGTTCAGTGTTTGCTTTTCTCCCAAGGGTGATTTCTCTGAGAATGGATAGATCAATGAACAAAAATGTCTCATCCTGCAATTTGTAACTTTCATAATCATATTTGTGTTGTTGCTGATAGGATACAAATCTGTAGTCTTAGTTACCTAAAACCTAGCTTGGTGCAAGATAGGTTTGAAGAGCTTAATTGATTCTCCTAGTTGGCTGTGTCTTTTAGGGACAGAATGCTGAGAAGAAAGTGGAGATTACTGTCATTGAAACAGAGCCATTCCCTGAGCTTCATGTTGAACAACTGGAAAACCAGACAAAAGTATTTGGAACTGTCATGGATGCTGGAGTCATAAGGCATGAGCAGCCCTTCATTGTTCTGAGTCAAGAGGAATATGGAGAACACCACTCATCCATCATGCATTGCCGGTAAGGATTGAATAGAAAACTGAATGTCGTATTTATCAATATCATCTCAATAGAGTGGAATCCAAATCTTTGTGAACTTACCATACCAAATTGTGGACATTTATTCTTGGCTCCCAGTCTGTCAATTGCAAATTATATTTAGGTACATGTTTTGTTATCATAAGAAATATACAAAGTTTTGCATATTAGAAATACTATTTAAATGAGCATGAAAATATCTACACAGGGTTTAATAGATGTGAAAGATCAAATGGGTAATAGAAATCCATATCAAATTTATGAAGAGAAGGCTATAAATGCAAAAGTCTATCTTCTTTCTGTGTGCAGGGTGGACTGCTCTGGCAGAAGAGTGGCCAGTTTAGATGTGGATGGAGTCATCAAGGTGTGGTCTTTCAATCCTATCATGCAGACAAAAGCATCTTCAATTTCCAAGTCTCCACTGCTTTCTCTGGAATGGGCAACCAAACGGGACAGGCTGGTGAGTAACTGGGGTTACTGTGATTATGGTTTTGGCCAGGGATGATTTTTAGTCCAGTCTATGAGGAGGGAGCCATATTGAAGAAGTTGTACTAAACCCACCTTCCTTTTTGCTTGGATGTTCCTAGGCATAAAAGTACCTTAAGATAGCTGGCTCTGATGGCAGCTATGGTTTTAGGGCATTGATGATGCTACAAATACTAGGCTTGTAACAAAATTAATAGAAAAGGATTGCAGAATTTAAATTTGCTATGTTGGGTGATTTCTGGAAAACAAATTCAGAAAGTGAAACTAAAAGGTTGCAGCTTGGATATTACCGTTACAAGCGTTGTTCTAATATCTTCCATCAGTTTAACAGGTATCAGCTCATTATTGTTGCTGAGCAATTTTGAGTTTCTTCTTATAGCTGTCTGTTCTGGGAATATTCCATGGCTAAAAACTATTTTGATTATCCACTTGATTGTTTCTTATTGCTTATTTGTATTCCTTAGCTGATGCTGTGATTTATTTTAAATGTGTGCTGTCCTAAATCATTGAACTGATTAAATAATAATAATTCGCAAACATCTGGAGCATCACTTGAACATCACTGGCATTGACAAAATCCCCATCAGTTAGTTGCAAAAGGCAGCTTTTCTTGGGACAGTTTACATCCTATGATACCTTTAACATCATCAAACAACAACATCTGCCTCAGTAGGACTCAGTAGATGGATAAAAATGCAAATTCTCTTTAAACATCTTGGTGACCATATTACCATCCGTAATAATAATAAATTAAATTTATATGCTGCCCACCATGGGTGCCTCATAACAATCAAACAAATTACAATAACATAAATAAAACATACATACATACATACATAAATGGCCTTGTTATGTTAAATATATAATAGTAGCTATTATAGAATTCTTAGAATAAAAATACCTTGCATGAAAGGATGGGAAGTCTGCAATAATATTTTATTTATTTTATTAAACTTATATGCTGCCCATCTTGCCTGGATGTGACTCTAGCTTTACAATAATATGCCAGGAGAATCTGGAAGTACTCAGATTCCTTCCTTCCTTCCTTCCTTCCTCTTTCTTTTTCTTTCTTATATTTACAAGATTTTAGAAGTCTACCTTTCAGACAATGTCTGGTAATTTCCTTTTTGTCAGGAACTATCTCACAGTTGCAGTTTAGGATATGGACAAGATTAGTTAAAGAAGGATTAATTAGAACAAAGACAAGGTTTGATTTCTTTATTTACCATGCAAGGATCTGGACTTGCCCTAGCCTCCAAGACACAAGATTACTCTCAATCAGGCCTCTTTAAAAAAATATGTAAACTTTAAGTAAACTTTAAAGTAAACTTTAAGAAGGCATACTGTCTAGCAAACTGTAGATGGCCTAAGCTAAATGATAAAACCACCCCCCACACACAAACACACAAAGCCTGTTAATTTTCAGAGGAATACCAATCGTATCGTTTATCTCTGTTTTTCCTCTGTTACTTCTCTGAAGTTGTTGCTTGGCAGTGGAGTTGGTACTGTTCGTCTCTATGACACTGAAGCCAAGAAGAATCTTTGTGAAATTAGCATTGATGAAGATATGCCCAGGTATAAGCCTGATCTTTAGCTTTTGTATTTCATCTCGAGTGATAGTGATTTTTGTGACAAGAATAAGAACAGTACTGTTGAATGTTGCTTAAACTGATTGCTTATTTGTGAATTGGAATCATGAGTGTGAGATCCTTAGTGCTCTCTTGAGCTTGGCTGGGTTTTTGCAGATGTTTCATTACCCAACCTAGGGTCAACTCTGATGATGTTACCTAGTTTGGGTAATGAAACATCTGCAAGAAAACAATCAAGCTCAGAAAGCAACAAGGATCCCTCATTTCAACTCTGAGCTACAAATATTCTCCTTTATTGGAATCTTGAGTGTATTTTCAGCTTTGCTTCTGTCACTTCTTTGCCATTTCAACAGTCTTGGGGGGAATTGTTAATGCTGTATTTGGGGTGTTTTACATACTATGGCTTCTCTGCATAGGAAAATTCTGTGACAGAAGAATCACATAAGACTTTAATAATTTTACTTATCACTTTTGGTAAGTGTGACAAGCCTCCTTCTCCTCTTTGAGTTGTAAGACAGTTAAAGAGAAAGGATGAGTATAATGCGGCTATATCATCAAAGTTCTAGAGTGGTACCATGATCAGGCACAGGACTAAGCCAAGTGTTAGAGGGAAGCAAAGGATTTTCTTGGGCTTCCTACAGAGGTGCAGCATGAGCTGACACACAGACTTTATTCTGCAGATATTTGGTCATAGTCATCCATAGCTGTTCTTACTCATTTGCATTTATTTAAGAGACCTTCAGAGATTGGAGGAGGAGAGAATGAAGAAGGTATATGCTTACATTTTTAATATTGAGAGTGAATATTTATACCAGTATAGATGCATATTTTTGTGTTAGGAAATTCTGATCACTCCCAATAGCAGTTGGTTTCCTTCTTGGTTCGCTGGACTATGTGGAAGGCCACATTGTATCTCTTTATTTCAGGATCCTGTCCCTTGCTTGTAGTCCAAGTGGTGCTTCCTTTGTCTGTTCAGCTGCAGCATCTGGCCTTGTCAATCAGCTAGATTATGCTACGTCAGATTCTGGAGGAAAGGGCATCAATCAAGTTCCTGGGAAATTGCTTTTGTGGGATACCAAAACTATGAAGCAGCAGGTATAGTGTGTATTTCCCCCCACACACACACACACCCTTGCGCTTGTTTGATAAAAATAAAAGAATGTTTTCTTAATCTATAGCTCAAAAAAAGAGGGTACTTAACTGGTGTTTTTAACAAATCCTTCATATGTTTCTCCTTAATATTATGGTTACTTAGAACTTTTGAATAATTGTCATCACAGTAGCTTTAATGTTGATGTGAGCTAATGCCAGGTTGACCAATATATGTTTGCTTATTGCCACCTTCTAGATTCAATATTGGCCAAGGATACCTAGTTGGCTTTTGTGGTTAGATGTACTTTTTGTACAGCTTTGAATGACGCATATCCTGTTGTACTAAGCACTGTATCATTAAGACTGAGCCATCTTTAACTGCAAAGAAAACATGTTAAAGAAAAATATGTCTCTTCCAATGAACTTGCGGGATGATATCCTTCATCTCTAATCAGGTTATATTTAGACCTCTCTTGGTGGGAATTTTTTCATTTTATAAATAACTGCTTTCAGGAAATATAGGCTAGTTTATAAAAAGCTCATTGTGTCCATTTAGTATTTACAGAATACAATGGGAGATGAAAAAACTCAGATGTAAGTTTGTGGTGTTTGATTGAACAACTGGATTATTTATTTATTTATTTGAATTATTTGCCACCCATCTCGTTTCAACGCAATTCTCAGATGGACATCTCAGAGTAATTGCTCCCTTGGGAAAGAACAAACAATTTACATTCTGTGTTCTGTTTGCTGTTTCAGCTCCAATTTTCTCTTGAACCAGAGCCCATTGCTATAAACTGCACAGCCTTCAATCATAATGGGAATCTCCTGGTCACTGGAGCAGCAGATGGCATAATTCGCCTCTTTGGTAAATGGCTTTTTCCCTCCATTTTAAATTCTGTAGGTCCTAGGATTTTCAGTTACTGAGCAGACACTTTGTTATAGAGCAGGAGTGGGAGAATGGGCCAAAGGCTGGTACACTGACAAAAGTTAACCAGTGATGTTATTCTCATTTAATCATTTACTTTTTATTAGATCCCTCATTTTAATAGATACAATGCAGTGTACTTTAGGTATATTTTGACTATAATTCTCAGCTAAGATACAACATTCAGGGAGGTTGTTATTGATCTGTATATGTATAACATTGAGTGAAGGTCTCTATATCAGATTTCATGTTAGGACTTGGCAGTTAACTTTTTATTTATTTGTATCCCCCTTTATTATTTTTACAAATGACTCAAGGCAGTGAACATATCCAGCACATCTTCTTCCTCCTATTTTCCTCATGACAACAACCTGTGAGGTGACTTGGGCTGAGAGAGAGAGTGATTGGCCCAAGGTCACCCAGCTAGCTTTCATGGCTAAGGTGGGACTTGAATTCACAGCCTCCTGCTTTCTAGCCTGGTGTTTTAACCACTAGATCACTCTCCTCTCTCTGCTTTCTTACCTCATACTGGAATAAACAGAACTAATGATTGTTTGTATTTTGGTAGAGATTGTTAAGGTTTCAAAATTTGTCTTTGTTTGTTGGATGTAGCTTCAGTTAGGGATGAAGAACATCCCCCCCCCCCAATGAAGTTCTAACTCCATTTTCTCCGAAAGCAAAGCAGTGATGAAATCCACAATATATGTTGTGCCCAAATTCAATGGAGGTTATCAAATTGCTGCCTCCCAAGCTTCAGAGCATCTATAGCCTTTTAATAGAGATGGAGGATTGGTGGAATTAATCATGTTGAAGACCATGGTAACTGTTGTATTCATGCAGATAAAGATAATTATTTTCCTCCTCTTATTGTTTCCTTCCTCTAGAGAAATCATTCCATTATAACACCAACCAGCAAAAGTCTTTTCAGTCAGAATATCAACATGGATGGGCAAGAAAGACACCAAGTTCAAAAACTGTCTTAGAGAACTATGAGGATAATCCATGTGGCCTTTTTCTCTCTCTGTCTTCCAGATATGCAGCAGCATGAATGTGCTATGAGCTGGAAGGCCCACGATGGGGAGGTTTATTCTGTTGAATTCAGCTATGATGAGAATGCTGTTTATAGCATAGGTGAAGATGGAAAGGTAGGTTTTAAAAAATTGTGGCCAAACTGACATTATATATGACAGCAACACATTTATTTATATCAGTATTTACTCGTGTTTCCCCAAAAATAAGACCCCGTCTTATATTTTTTTTTGCTTCCAAAAGAGGCATTAGATCTTATTTTGGGGATGTCTTATTTTTTCTACTGTCTCACTTCGTGGCAGTAGCACCAACAACCCCATCTAGCACAAGCCTGCGTGCCCGCCAATGGCCCTCTTCCTCTACGGCCACTCGTGCGCATCGCCCCCAGCCTCCATTTCACTGGCAGAGGCCTTCAGGAAAGTCCTCTGCAGCCGAGAACTGAGCCCTGGGCTGATGCATGCATCGCCCCCTGGCCTCCATTTTGCTGGCACAGGCCTTCAGGAAAGGCCTCTGCAGCCGAGAACGGAGCCTTCAGGAAAGACCTCTGCCGGTGAAATGGAGGCTGGGGATGATGAGCGGGTCAACCCAGGGCTCTGTTCTCGGCTGTAGAGGCCTTTCCTGATCGTCTCTGCTGGTGAAACGGAGGCTGGAGGTGAAGCACGCAAGCAGAAGTGGGCTGGCGGCAGCCACGCTGGCTCCTGCTGGACGGGACTGTTGGTGCCACCGCCACGAGGTGAGACAGGTGTCAGGGTTTTGGAGGCCTGTCTGTGGAGGCGGGTGGGACAGCTCCACCTCCTCCCCTACCTGCCTCGCCTCACCTCGTGGCGGCACCACGGACCACCAGATGAAATGGGCGGGCAGCCAGTTTCACATGTTCTTAATTAGGGCTTATTTTGGGGGTAGGGCTTATGTTAGGCACATGCGTAAAAATCAAGCTAGGGTTTATTTTCAGGGAAACATGGTATTTCTTTCTTTGGAGATATATTTGGCCCTCAAAATAGCTGGTAACTACATCTAATTAATGTCACCATATCTGGAAAAGACCTTGCAACTCTCTGTATCTTCTGAAGTTTCATCTGAAAGCTGTTCGTCCAGTGAATCTATAAATCATTTTGAAAACAGATGTCCTAATTTGTAGGGACCCCCACTGGTTGTGTTTCTTCTGGTGTCAATGATTTTTTTTCTCTGTATCTGTGGGTGCTATTGCAAAGTAAATAATGCATGTGTATTTTTATATATCTTACTGGGCTCTGTTATATCATTGTAGTTTATTCAATGGAATATCCATAAAAGCGGATGCAAAATTTCTGAATTTAGTCTCCCTAAAGATGCCACTGGGCCCTTTGTGTTGTCTGGCTACAGCGGATACAAACAAGTCCAATTCCCACGTGGAAGGCTCTTTGCATTTGATTCTGAAGGAAACTACATGTTAACCTGTTCTTCCACTGGAGGGGTTATCTACAAGGTACTAGCTATTGATTAAGATAATTACATGCTGTCTCTGACTTTGTTTAAAGAACTGAATTTGTTCATTCTAAACCAGGCCTTCAACCATGATTTATGAATAAGCATCAATTTGATGCAATTTCACAATTTGCATAACTTATGAAAGCATATATGATTTAGAAATCACACGTCTAAGCCAAAACCAAGTAGCCACATTGAATTGTAGTATTATATGTTAGGCTACATATAGTGCCTCTGGGTGGAATTTACCAAAGAAGATCTTGGTTCTTGTAGCCATCTATATTAGTTAACTTTCCTATGATCATATATCTTGTTAAACGGTTTGGGAAACTCATAGGTGGAGACAAGAGTATAAATGCAGCATATTTTGAGAAGTGGAGTGATGAAATTTCGATCTGTTTTATGATCCATATAACTTTCATTGACATTAGTATATATTGTACTTTTAATAATCATTCTGACATTATTTATCTCAGCTCTGCTCTATGCTTAAAGTCCAGGGTAATATTCTATTTTTTTAAAGGACTAGAGTTGTCCTAGAATTTTAGATCCCCTATTGGCAAGTGATTTGTACCATAAAACCTTGCTAATCTTTGACTTATTGTTTCTCTATTTCAGCTGAATAGCAATGACAAAATACTAGAGAGCTGTCTTTCCCTTGGAGGACATAGGGCTCCGGTAGTCACTGTGGACTGGTGCACAGCCATGGATTGTGGGACCTGCCTCACTGCATCCATGGATGGGAAGATCAAACTAACCACTCTACTTGCACAGAAGTCTTAAATGAAACTATGCTCCAAGATGAGAACATTTTTTTTCTACAGAAGAATGATCAATCAGTATTAACCATTAGCTTCAAGGTTTTGTGGGGAGGGAGGGTTTAATCACTTGTCTAAAGGTCATGATCTCCTTTTAAGTTAGGAGTTAAATTTAACTGCAAAACTACTGCCACTTAGAAGAGGATCTTCTAACAGTTCATCTCAACAAATATTAAACATTCCCTGATCTTGATGATCCTTTCAATAAGGATCAGCCCATTTTTTCCTCTTGGTCTTCATTAGCACATAGCCATAATTCTCTGGGTTTGTCCCAAGATGGAGTACAAATTTGTTGTGGTTCTAGCAGGTGGGAGATGGAGAGGGAAGTCTTTTTCAAAACTAACAGTATTAGTTGCATTTTTACTAGAAGAAAATTTGATTCCATTTACATTATGCTGCTTTGGTTGTTTGAAGAACATTCCGTGCTATGCTCTAGAAGAAAAAAAGTTATTATATAATTCATATTGTTTATTTTCCTTTATTTAGAGTTTTGGACATCTGATATAGACTACAGAAAGCATATGATAGTAAAAATGTTATGAAATGGCTCATCTGTTTATTACTACCAAATCAGTTCATTCTAATTAAGTTCTGTTAGGAAAGAAAGCAAGCCGAGAGTTTTATGGAACTCTTAGCTTGCTTTCTATATTTGTAGCAATTTGCATGTTTGAGAGGATAAGAATACATTGTACACAGTGAAAAACACCTATGCATGGCTTAAGATCCAAGCAAAACCACGAGCATACCTTGGAATTGCTTTTATGTCGATCCGTAATTTTTTAGATATATGTAACATGAATAGCATTCTTGGTCATCAGCCTGAGTTCACCAAATGCAGTTACTCTCAGGAGGCACAGCTGTGGTTTTCAGCTGTAATAGATTAGACACATCAGAAGTCCAAGCATAAGGTGAACAATAGTGTCTGTAATAAAATGTGGTTTGGCAAGTACTGAAGATGGTTGAAAGAAACGGAGAAAAGTTCAAACCTACAGCCTATAATAATTTAGAACCATACTATTTTTTTAGGGGGGAGATAGATGAAATGGCACCATTGCAACCATAGTATGCTTATGGAAGTGCAATATAGACTGATTTAAAAATGGGGGAGGGGAGCCCAGAACGATCCCCTTATGACTGAGTGTTGTCATTTATCGGTAAGGCCTTTTTCACTAGAGAAAAAGTGTTGAGCTGACAGAATTTCAGATGGCAGCATCCCACACTGCAACAGTGTAAAATCTCAGTTGGATATATAATCTCCATACTTTAGCATTCCTGTGATAGAGACTCATATGAGGAGTTCAGATGTGGCTGCATTCCTATGACAAGTTTGTGGTTAATATTTATAGTTTATTGTGGCTTGACATCGCACACCAAATCATGAACTAACCACATTAATTTTATTAAAACAGAATTGTGGGATAAAATACAGCTATTATATAGTTTGATGTCTTGCGTAAACAAAATATAAAGTTAAGGGGAAGAATAAATGCATGTCAGATTTAGAGGAAAAAAATCAAGTTTATTTAGAAATTGTTTTGCACCTAAAACCCCTTTTTATCACTTTGAAGTATTTAATTGTGATAAATGAAGATATGTGGACATTTCTGAGACTAACATAAAAAAATGATATAAAAGGAACTGGCAATTATTCAAAGGACGGAAGGGGTTACCACAAGACATTTGGATCAGTGTTTTTCAAATTCTGTACCTTTAAGGTGTGGACTCAGTGGTGGGATTCAAATATGTGAACAACCGGTTCTCTGGGTGGATGCCGCTTCTGGAAGTCCATTCTGGGGCTGGGCAACAAAAAATTAGCTGCCGGTTCTGTCAAACTGGTGCGAATTCTGAAGTCCACACATCTTAAAGGTGCTGAGTTTGAAAAATCTGATTTTCATCACTTTTTTTCCTTCTCACGAAGAGCTCTAGTGTACGCAACGTGTCATTCTGCTTCCGGGTGCCTCCTTGAAATTCAAGTCCCAGAAGCTACTGGTGTGCAACTAACATGATGGAGTAAACCTGGCTTCCACTACAGCTGCCAGCGGAAAATGGTTGTTTATGCTATTGCTTTGTATTTGGAGGTATGCTGGGTGAGGGTGTTTCTTTTTTCTGTGAGCACTTCTTGGAAAGCCTCAGTTCTTCCTCTGGCTTTCCAAGGTGGGTATCGTCAAACGACGCAAAGCATCTTGATTCACAGGGCGAGTAAACATCCAGTGGTGGTTTTCTTTTTAAAAATTGGAATTTATTGGTTTTACGGATTCTAGCTTGAGATATTTTAAAGAATAACTGCACAGCTTGTTGCGCGAGGAACTGGGATGAATTGGATTCAGCCTGCAGTCTTGTCTACTGGCTTGGGAATAAGCGCCATGGAATATAGTGAACCTTGATGTGGATTGAATTTCATGCAAAACACGTTGCATGCATCCTGTGGGGGCCCAGGTGGGGCTGGGGGGGATCCAGGGATCTCTGGCAGAGGAGGGGCAGGACCAGGGCAGGCACCGGGGCCAGATCCACTGGAGGACCCTTGCCGACCCTCTCAGGCCACATGGGGGCTTGCACAGCTGCCTGGGGGCGGGTGCCCAGTCCTTGAGCTCCTGGGGCACCAGACACTGCAGCCCGGCCTTGCTTCTGTGAGAGGATGCCCGGCTGTGCTTGCCTTGAGGTTGCTGCAACTGTGCTTGCTCTCTTTGCCAGAATGGGCTTATTGGGCTTGGGGGGCTGAGGGGTGACAGGCTCCTGCTGGATGGGGCTGTTGCTGCCACTGAGGCGAGGCAGGTGGTGGGACAGGTGGTCTAAGGATCATTACTGGACCCAGATGCCTGTGCGCACGGCCATGGGCCGTGGACTGGTTTCATAGCCTAGGGCATGGAGCAGACCGTCAAGGGGAGGGGGCCGCATGGCTCTCCTAACAACTCCTGGCCCCCCTGCATCCTGGGACTGCGTTTTCTGGCCACCTTGCCACCAGAGAGAGCACAGAGAGGTGAGGCCTGGTGGGCCTCCCACTACTCCTACAGACGCTATTGGCGATGGGACTGAAGAGCAGCAACGAGATGCCAAGGGGAGGCCAGGGCCGGTGGCAGGTCGACCCATTTGATTACCCCTGGGGGGGATGGCCTGGGGATGGCCCTTGTGGTGATCTGTGCACCCTCTGCCCTCTGACGCATCTGGGATCAGATGGCACCATCCAAGGTGGTGCCAACATGCATTACCCTCTGGAGGGGGGAGATGTGGGTTGGGCTGCCTGGGCACCATGCCTCCGTGTCTGTCGAGCCAAGTGGGTCATGATGTGCAACCTCCAGCGCTGTGACAACAGCTTCTCGATCGTCGTTGGCTAATCTGCGACTCCATGTCCTGGACGGGGCTCAACGGGTCCTCCCATTGCAACACCCTGCGACTCTCACACTGGGGTCCTCTCTGTGTCTTGTGGCCTCGGCCCAACTCATTGCCCTCCCTCCATCCTTCTGTCTGCAGAACTTTCAGGTGCATCAGATTGATAGGAGGAAAATTTTCACAGGCCCAAAGGGGGAAGGCAGATTGCCGCTGTGGCCATTCTTTGCTCTGGGCGTCCTGTGCATGGGGGCCAACTGGGTCCAGCAGCAACCTCACTCTGTGGTCCGCAGCCTACATAGCACAGGTGAGTCTGAGTGCTGCAACCACCGGGCCAGCCCTCCAAACAGCAGGTGGAGGCAGGGGGCAGGCTGTGATCTGGGCCGCCGGATGGCCTTGGGCAAAGGTAAATGGGACGGAGCAAGTGGGTGGGCAGGCAGCCACCTGGCACGTCAGGATCACATGCCTCACCCCGCCTCTTCCTCTGCCTGCTGCTTGGAGGGTCAGGAGGGCCCATGCAGCACTCAGACCCACCTGTGCTGCATGGGCTGCAGAGCCTCAAGAGTGTGCCAGCTGAGGGGCCGGTGGGTTGTGGCTGTTGCCGGACACCATCGGCCCCTGCACGCTCACTGCCTCCTGTGCACTGGGGTGGGTTGGGGCAAAGGGGACGGGTCTCTTGCTGTGTCCATGGCGGCCCTGCATGCCAATTCTGGGCCCATCGCAGGCTGGATCTGGCCTGCGGGCCTTGTGTTTTGACATGTCTGCACTAGAATTTCTGTAGCTTGCTTGTGTCATAGAAACTGCTACTGACACTGCCAAAATTATGGAACTTGAAATCAAATCTCATTAGGTTGAAATGGATGTAGAACTAGCAGAAGAACTTTTCCTAATGTGTCTTGAGATGTGTTGAGACTCAGTTTCAATAATTTCCATTGCTGAAAAGGATAGTATATCTCAATATTTCGTTACTGTGCAAATAATACTTGATAACTGAAAACAGTAATAAGATTATCTACATACCAATGTATTGCCATTAACTCATAAATGGGGAGTTTTTCTTTCCCCAGTGTTCTAATTGTACGTGAATAATGCCATGACCTTTTAATTAAAACTGAATTATTTGTATTTTTATATTAGTAGTCCATCTTTTGTCAACTTTCTGCCAGAAACAAAGTAATTTGTAAATAAAATGATCTTAATTAATAAATGTGTTAAAGTTGCATTTGTAAAACAACATGTCAAGATTTTTTTTTCTATATAGCATTTTTATATCTTTTCCCATCTGACAGACATTAACACAATGCTTTTTAGAAGAACCATATGCTCCAGATCTGTGGTTTAAAGCTACCATTTGAGTAATAAATGCACTGTGATAATTTCTTGATTCTTAGTCACAACCCAGCTAATTGCTAAATGGTCTGAACATTAGTGGAAAAGATACCTACCTATTTAATGAAGACAAATAATAGAACCTGATCCAAAAATGCATGTCTCCAGGGCACTTGAGTACTTTAGCAGATTTCCCCCCCCAATTGTTGCATTATATTCTTGCATCATTGGAGTTTAATCATTAATTAAAATATAGGTAATTCTCATTTACTGACCACACATTCAGCCAATATTCAAAGTTGTGATGGTGCTAAGAGCGGCACTTAAAACTGGTTCTCAGAGTTCTGGCTGTCACAATGCCTTCATGATCACGTGATCACAACTCAGGTGCTCGGCAGCCAGCTTGCACTTATAATGGTTGTAGCATCCCAGGG